CGGTTGATAGGCGCCGAGTTTGTTTTCTCTGTGGTGAGAACCACCCTTCGCTGTCGCGGCTGGCGGGCTGTTCCCTCTGTGTGGGCCCGCTGGGGAAGCTCGGCTGAAAGGACTCTTGTTCATTGTGTCCGTAAGTGGCTGACGTGGCCACAAAGCAGTTGAGTGGCGTCGGGGTTTGGGCATTCGACTCTCCCTCCTTCCACAAGGCCGGAAATTCGCCTGGTTCGCTTTCATTGCAAAAGTGCTGCTTTATTTGCGGTCGCCGAACAGGCCGCACGTTGGGGCGCCGGATGTGGGATTCCCTTTTGGGGTAACACGCAGAAACACAGAAGGTTCCTTGGGTTCGGGTAATAACGTGTTTACGCGTATTTGGCGATAACGCTGTACGTATAGACCGTTCCATTAGGGTCATAGCAGAGAGGGTAAAAGAGAAAAAAATGCACTCCCCCTCTCACCCCGCATGACGTCCGCCCCGCCGAGTGGGCTGTAGGTAGCGTCCGGCTGGCGTGCAAACTCTGTTTAAAATCGCGTCATTTTGGAACTTTCAAGCGCAGATGCGCAGATTTTGGTATGCCAGTTGTCGTGTAATATTATGCTAGATAAAAGACTCACGGGGTTCAATTGCGCTGTTACCTGCGTGCAAATAAAAAAAAAATATTGGGAAAACTGTGTCTGATTGGCCGGTCTCTTTGGCGAAAAGTAAATCTGGTGGCTGTACCTTTTTTACTATACACAAGCTCGTACTGGTGTAGGCCTTTAGCAACCGTGAGTGGAAGTCTGAAATAATAAATAAAACGTGCTCTCCTGCCACAATACAAGCAGTAGTTGAGGGTAGTACTGCCGGCTGACTCAACTGCTATTTAAGTAACGGAAAAAAGATATGCTAGTTGATCATTTAGCAAAATAGAACAACAGAGAGCTATAGGCGGATTTTGGAGTAGCCACAACTATTCTAAGAACGCTAACCACTTCACAACGGCAGCCACGAGCGAGAGTTCAATGTTCGTTAGAGCCCGCCGATACAGCCCAAAGATGGAGAACGGCAACCTCCCGGTTTGTCGTCTGCTAGCGGAGTCGCGCGCGTGCCCTCTCTCTCGTTTTACCCCGCCGAACCCGCTGAACTTCCCGGATGTGTGGAGAGGGCGCTGCGGTCGCACAAAATGGTGCCGCCCAGAGAGCGCTAAATGGAATGGTCTATAGTTGGGGGCAACAATGTCAGAGATAACGGCGCTGGTTATTTTTTTTTTTTTTTTTTTTACAGTTTTATCAACAGGAGTTTACGCTGCCGCGATTGACAGTATCACGGAAGGGGAGGAACGATAAAAGAAAGAAAGGCTCCGTCGACCAGAGCCTCCTCCATCGAAAGTCGCCCCTGGCCGTTGGATATGGCCGTCTTATATAGCCTGCGGGAATGAACGAGCCCGGGTGGTGTGCCTTCGGCAAATTACCCGAGAAGGGCGAGGGAGAGCCATCCGCAAGGTGATAGGGCCTCGCCCCGCATCGGGAAGGGGCGCCGACATGGCGACGCCCCACGCCCTGCGTTAGCTAGGCCTAGATAGGGATGCGGAGAACACGTGGTTCCAACAAGTTACCGTGAATGCGTGAAATCTGAAAGCACTTTACGCCCGGCTTCTTGTGAGTTTTCCCGTTGTTCGCACACCAAAGAACACAGCAGTAGTGTCCAAACCCCATAACCTGGGTGTCCGAGAAAGGAGGTTATCATCTATTTGATGGAGAACACGTCGTGAAATTCACAGCGAACGTGGCGAAATCTGAAAAAAAGTGAAGCGTAATACAAGGAAGTCGCAAACTTGTCAAGCCTTTCCTATAAAAAAATCCGGCAAAAACTTCCAGTGACATCCGGTACACTTTCGGTGACATCGGGTGAAAACTGGTCAATTTTCGCCCGTTTTCATACGAAACCAGCGTCGTTTAGGAGTCTTTGCTGACTATTTGCCCGCAAGCAGGTTTCACTGGAACTTCACCGGCAGCGGGATTCCAGATTTCACGAAACCACCGCCAGTTCGTCTACGTCTTGCAGGAGGCTAGTAGCGAGCATGGTGAATTTCTGTACAATGGTTTAGCAACAAAAAATATTTTAACGCCATTTTTTTTCGAGAGGACATTGACGCTTTCTTGAAGAGCAAGAACAAGGTCATCGTACAGCTGTCAAACGTGAAGTGGCTTTTCCCCCTTGCATTTCTCACTGACAAAAGTGACCACCTGAACTTCCTCAACGTTAAACTTCTGAAGAAGCAGAAAATTATCACCACGATGTATAACAGCATTCCGGCATTTTAAGGCAAGCCATGCAGCTCTGGGAGCAGCAGATAGGACAGAAAAGGCTTGATAACTTTCCAACGCTAAAGTCGCTGGGAAACATGGATCAATAGGCTTGCAGTATCTTTTCTGAGGTTTTCCTTAAACTCAAAAAAGAATTTGAAGATTGATTTCAAGATGTAAGCAGCCTCTTCAAGGAGTTCGAATTTTTCTCGTTGCCCTTCAAGGAACAGGCACATTACGTTCATCCAGAGCTCCATATGCAACTTCTAGAGCCGCAGGCAGACACCACACTGAGGCAAAACTTTCAGGATGTGGGAGTGCCGGCGTTTTACAAGTTTTTATGAAACATGTTTCCCGTCTCTACATCAACAAGCAGCGAGAATCATCGTCATGTTTGGAAGCACCTACCTGAACAAGCACGTTCTGTCCTACCGAAGGGTTAACAAGTGAACACTCAGGTCAAGAATAACATATGAACTTTTGCAATCGGTTATAAAGATCGTCTTCTCGCAAAAGCTTAAGGCGCACATTTATTTACCTGTTGTAGCAAAGCAGTGTCAGGTGTGAACTCAGCGTATTTAGAACTTGATGCTTTCATTTGTTTTGTGTTTTGCATAAAATCAACCTATTTCGACTGCCTTCGTCTCTCTATTTGATGACGCCTTCCCAGTTATGAGACATTCTACGAGAGTAAACTTTGCGGAATGTCCCCCCCCCCCCCCCTCCACCCAACCCTCTCCTAAGACCACGCCCCCATAGGTCTTAAATTTTTTCTATGCGGCCCACTTCCTGAGATGAGTTTGAGACCACTGGTCCAATGTATCAAACTGCCGGATTTTCCAAAGACGTCCATAGACCGTTTTCGCATAATGACGCCGCTTGATTGGTCCCATTAGCTGCTAGCGTCGGCTGTGTCTTGACTTACGGTGAAATGAAGTACAATCAGTAGAGAGTTTTAGGAAACCGTTTTGCACATCCGATGGGCCCTCCTGTACCAAGTGCTCATATCCGATTCTTCTGCGATAGCGCACGCGCAGTTTGTACTGGAGGCCCCATCGTACCGCATCGGATGTCCAAAAACGGTTCCCCAAAACACTCTCGTGAGGATTCGAGCGTTGAGTCAGCGATCGGCTGGCAGTCGTGTTATCGACTTCCTTGGTTCTGACCCTAGACTCGTGAAGAATAAAGTTGGGGTCGGACTTTACGGAGCGCGTCGATTGGGCTTTCACGTCGATGACATTCCGCTTCTTCAGCCGAAGTCCAGTAGACGCGGTCCGCGAACTTTCGACTAGGCCTTTGTGCTTGACGGGTCTCGGGCCCCTGGTTAGAAAATGAAAACGGTTAGGTGCCAGCCATATAACACAATCTGTGTTGCTAAAATATAAAAGCGTGCATGTTTGATTGCGAAACCTTTATGTGTCCGAATACGCGAAAATCCGGCGTTGTTGGTGGCGTGACCGAGCGATGATACCAAAAATGGCAGACGGCGAAAAGAGCGTCCAATATACTCCGATTTACGTCAGATTTCTCAAGGAGGTTCCTGCAGAAAATGCATATTAATGGTTTTCAAAACAAAATTTGGTTCATTTCGGTCTGGGTAGGAATCGAACCCCAGCCTCCGAGGTGCGAAACGAGGACGCTTCCCCGACGCCACGGTGGCTCTACTGTTCTGGCTGACAGAAGGTATGCCCAGAGCGCGCGTCATTGGACATTTCAACATTTTGTCATTGCGTCAATCTAAAACAATTCACCAAAGGGACTATCCCACAGGTAAACAGTCTTAAGGGTGCACTAAAGACGATTCTGAGGTCATATGTTCCTGGCGATAACTTATCTTACGGGCTCCTAACATCCTAACAATCCAACAATTATGCTAGTGCAACGCCTGTTTCTCTACTAAAAATGTGATAGAAGTCCGTCCGATGAGCCCAACGATCTGTAGCACAGAACCCAGCGGAGGCACCGGCGACGTGGCGATGGGCGCGCGTCAGCCAGTCGCAAGCCACCTCTCTCGGAAATGCGGCATGCGATTGGTTGACGCGCTCCCGTCGTCACGCCGACGGTGCCTCGGCTGAATTTTGTGCTCTATATTTTTCCACTCAGAAAGTGGCATTGCACGAACTATTTTCACATGTTTAGTAGGAAAATAGACGTCGCACGCGAATAATTTTTTTTTAATTTCTGGTATGCTAAGATCCAGTAGAATGAGTTATCGCCAAGAAGAGATGATCTCGGAAATGTGTTCAGTCCTCCTTTAAGAGTCTCTTCCGATTCTTTGCCTGGCGGCATGCTGACGCTAGTTTTAATGCCATTTGTGTTGTATCTTTTTTCTTTCTTCTATTTTTGTTGCGAGTATTCCTTTTATGCGTATGCCGCGGCTGACACAGTACCGCAATTTTCTAATCCAAGTTCATCCTTTCACGAGTTCTTGTGGAAGCAAGAACACCATAGAGCCCGTTGCAGCAGCTGCGTACAACAGCATCTGTGGCCGTTGAGCAAACATAAAAAAGAACACGGCAGATTTCAAAATAACATCTTTCATTAAATTATATAAAACAAATTGTCGTTAACGACAGCGCGCCGCAAAGTACTGCAATGTAAGTGTATGTTCCTCTGTGCTACATGCAGATGCGCGGTACACTGCGCAACAAAGGGGACATTTCACATCCTCGACGAGTACGCAAAGGATTGCGATGGACGCATCTACCGCTACCAGCGACGTCGTGGTCAGTGTGGATGACATCGAACGTCTTGGATGCTCCAGCATGGACGAGAACGTGAGGAGTTTCTGCAACAGCGGTGCGGATCAGGAGCAGACACTGGAGGAGAACCGGGCGGCTTATTTCAGGTGCCCCTTGAGTAGATTCCATATTCATGTAATACATTCTTATCTTGCCACCTCGATGACTATCATCACCCAAGTCCTCTGTAGATGCTAATGTCTGCTTTTTAATGTGTGATAAAATAATAATTTGAGACGGGCGTCGATGCAGAGCCAGAAGATTCCAGACGTTCATCCACTGTATTGTTGTTGGATGGCAGTGATGAGATTTATAAGCTTCTGTACGCTTCACACACTCTAAGAAAAAAGTTGTCCTCAAGGGACTAACGGCAACATTTGGTCCTCCGAACACCCAGTCGCTTCCCAAAAGGACCATCTCGTTCAAGCTAGGTACTGTGCGCAAAAGCTTGGGACTAACAGCGCTCGACTGGGACTACCCGAGAGGCATGCGCGAGCAAAGCAGCCATTAGTCCTCCTCAGACAGGGTGCATCTGTTTGTTTTAGTCCCCGAAGGCCAACGGAGTGCTCCCCAGAAAGACAGCTGATATTTCGCTTGTCTTGGGAATCGGCGTCACTCAGCGCAGCACGACTGAAAGTGTTGACCAAACTTGGACGAAACTGACGAATTTTTTTAATGTGCCAAGATCGTTCAGACATCACATGTTAGAGCATCGCGCGTTGTGGGAATACGAGTTAACGAATGTGTTGACTCGACTTCACCCAAATATCTCGTCAACAATAATGTGCTGACATTTGACAAGACCCATTCACGTAATTTGCCCTTGCGCAAAGAATTGGCATTTATCCAAATACACCACCTTCAAATAACACTTTTTAGAGCGCAGCTCTTAGGGGCCCGTTCCCGGCTTGAGCGGCGTCGGCGTCGCCGTCGGCGTCGCCGTTGGCGTCGGCGTAACCAAGGTCATCCCAAGGTCACGTGACCCCCAGAGGTCACGTGACCCCTCCCCCAGGGTCACGTGACCCCCCGAAGTCACGTGACACCCCCAGGTCACGTGACCACCCCCAGGGTCACGTGACCACCACCGAGGTCACGTGACCTCCCCGATGACGTCATCGTCACTGATGACGTCACCGGCATCCGCATCGTCATCGTCATCATCACTGATGACGTCATCAGTGACGTCACTGATGACCTCACCGGCATCCGCATCGTCATCGTCATCATCACTGATGACGTCATCAGTGACGTCACTGATGACCTCACCGGCATCCGCATCGTCATCGTCATCATCACTGATGACGTCATCAGTGACGTCACTGATGACGTCACCGGCATCCGCATCGTCATCATCACTGATGACGTCATCAGTGACGTCACTGATGTCCTCACCGACATCCGCATCGTCATCGTCATCATCACTGATGACGTCATCAGTGACGTCACTGATGATGTCACCGGCATCCGCATCGTCATCGTCATCATCACAGATGACGTCATCAGTGACGTCACTGATGATTTCACCGACATCCGCATCGTCATCATCGCTGATGACGTCGTCGGAGTCCGCATCGTCATCGTCACTGATGACGTCATCAGTGACGTCACTGATGACATCATCGGCATCGTCACGTGACCCCCCAAGGTCACGTGACCCCCCCAGGTCACTTCGCCCCCCCAGTACCCTTCCCTCCTCCTTCTCAAGAGCTGCGCTCTAATTCGGTGTTACAGGGAGTTGTAAACGGCTTTCACTTTTTTTTCTTATTGGTATTTTAATGAAACTTAAGAGTTTGTGGAAAACGCACGTTCTACACCGGAGTCTCGCCGTCAGTGTAAATGACCATCTCAATCGCTAAAACTGAGTTACTACGAACAAGTCGAGACTCGTCTCTGCGTCTCCCCGTGACAAACCTTTCTGGGTAGTCCTATGCCAAACTCTAAATCCGCAACGACACACTTGATGCACGGCACATTCAACTCAAAAAGCACATTCGGGGGCAGTATCCAGAAGCCTTCATGCCTAAATAGAATTATGAGAGTGTGTTGGTCAAACATCTTAGTATGCGAACGCAAAAGGAGATGAGGGACACACAAAAAACACCTTAGACACGGACAGCGTCCATGTCTGACGTGTTTTATATGTCCCCTGTCTCCTTTTGCGTTCGCATACCAAGACAAGAGGCCTTCATGCCATCGTCGTCGCTGTTTCAGACGACATTCCAGATGAAAAACGAAGAACGAACCGCTCCCGGAACGCCAACAATGGCAACACCTTGCTAATTCAAAACGGATGCGGACTAAGAAAAAGAAAAAGCACCAAAAAAAACTTAAAAAAAAATAAAAAAATAAATAAAAAAGAAATGGAACCGAAGTGTAGAAGGTGCCGTTGGCTAGCTTTGCGCGTGGTTTCATTAAGGTACCGTTTTGCATGGTTTCAAAGCTGATGACGTCGTCTGGCTCCATGAGACAGATAATGCTTTCTCATTTAAACGCGTTTGCTCGTACGTCACTTGATAGGCCCGTTAAAAATGGAGACCTCTTCCCGTCCTTGAGACATTGCTGTGTCCGCGTGTTCGTGTTCTGCGTAGTGCGAGGGGGAAAAGGGCTTTTCTCGTGCGCGCCCTTCCCCCTCCTCTGCCACCCCCCCCCCCCCCCCCCCCCCACCCCTTTTCCCGCACTCTTTCTTGTGCTCCTCGTTTGGGAAGATTGGGCAGATAGGGTGCGTCGGGAAAATGGGAAGCGTTCTTTATTTAAAAATAACCTGTTTTTAGCAAGTTGGAATACAGCCTTCGTCGGAAGCTGGTCGCTATTTTTTCTCTCTGTGTCGTCTCCGATCATTGCTGGATCTGGTTTGGATTCGCGGTGCTGCAGCACTGCACTTGATCTGTTCTGAAGTCACAAGTCAAGGGAACTCGATTAAGGTATGTTGAAGTAGTTCTATTTACGGTATATTCATTAACTGCCGCTTCAGAAAGTGTTTTTAGTTAGAATGCGTTCTCGAGCATGCAAAGGGCGCGCCATGTTCTATTTTTCTTGGCACCATGGTTGCTAATTTTGTTATGCAGCGCAGAGACCTGATATTCAATTGTAACGAGCAAAACGCCAGTTCTACCGATGGCTTCTTTTTTGTGTTTTGCAGACCCTGGCAGGGGGCCCCTTGACCATAAAGGCCTGTTCACACATGCAGCGGAGCGCTACAAGAATAATGCTGACCTTGCTCTAAGCGCGTGCTGACAGGATCGTTCACCAGCTTTGTAGGGAGTTTTAGTGAGTCGTTTTTCGAGCCCTCGGTTCCGAAATCACGAACGGTGCTGCTGGTTTGTTCCGTGAAACCGTACGCGAGATTTGACATATTTTTGCGAATCGTGATACTGGCGCAACCATGTAAACGTTGATGATGATTTTGGTCGGCAGGTAGCGCCATGTTCTAGTAAACATGTCAAACATTCTGAAACGTGTAAATCCGTAACGGCTCGTGTTTCCGGCGTACGACTGATGTAAACAAGACGGCCGACGTAACATTCCCATACAAAAAATGTCCTATGGTCGGCTATAGAAAATCCTTTGTAGGGACGGCTTTAGCTATTTGGCTCAATTAGCTAAAGAATTTTCTATGACTGTCTTTAGCATGTTTTATGGTCGCCTTTATGGATTTCTTTAGCTTTGTCTATGGCCCTATCGCTGTCCAGCCATAGCGCTCTTTAGCTTTTCTAGTGGTTGGCTAAAGACTTTTCTAAAGCTTAGCCTATGGCTCTCTTTAGCCAGCAAAATCTAAAAAAAAAAAAAATTTTACTTCAAGTTCTTGTGAACGCCACATGGTAGATATATACATGGGTGGTTATCATTTGAGCCCGTTCTCGTTTCGCCCTTTTCACCTGGCCCTTTTCAAAACAGCCATTCTCCAAAATATCTCGCTGTGACCCGTCGCGCCTGACTCTTTCTATACCAAAATCGTTTTTGAGGGTAATATTAATACATTGAGATAATGTGTGTGTGCGTTTGTGTGTGTGTGTGCGTGTGTGTGTGTGTGTGCGTGCGTGTGCGTGCGCTACACTACAGGCATACTCTCTCTGCTAAGGATTTTAGCAGTGCGTCGAGGTCGTCGTGAAAAACTACTAGCCGACAATAAAACAGACCAACTATTCATCGCAGCCAGATCATATTCCGATATGTCACATTGTTTGAGGTCTCTCACAATGCCACCACTTCAATAATGCAATGGTTCTCAAAAGGGGGCCTGCGAAGACATCCTAGGGGTCCGCGAAGCCCTGTCTCATCAGTCAGGCACGGCAATATTAGTTGTCTTTCTTCACGTTGAGAAGAAACGTTCCAATTTTTGGGAGAGTACTCCCGTGCGTATGTCAATGAGATAAGTCTACTTTACACGAGCAATTAGTTATATCCATTTATTATATCATTATCATGATAACCTATACGTTTCTATTCCTCTCACCCTGAACGGGGTCCTCCATCATCTCCATCTTTCTACAAGGCGTCTGCGAAACACCAATGGTTGAGAACCACTGCTATTATGTATGCTATTTCTTTCTAAACAAAGTTTCCAAATTAAATGTTCATCATTTTTTTTTCTAGTTTGCTTAGGGGAAGGCAAGCAGTCGTCAATGTACGATTCTCAGTGCGTACCTCTACACGTAAGATATATCTGATGGTATGTTGGGGGCCCAAGCAAGGTAAGGCTCATCAACAAGGCCGCGAAGGCATAACGACGTTAGAAGCATGCCGAACGAGTGCCATTCGGTCGTAGCGCGAACGGGTGAAATGAGAATGGGTCCAGTTGCGAAAAACACGATTCGGATCTAATGAGAAGGTTGAAACGAGAAGGACCAAATGAGAATGGGTCGAAATGTGCAAGGTTCAAATGCGAATGGGACGTTTTGAGATACACCCATATACATACATCTCTGAACACAAAGGATAGAAGCAGAACACTACCACACACAACAGCAAGTTCTCGGGAACACTACCCCCACTCCTCTCTACATATGCTATGTTCGCACTAGCCATATATATGGCAGTCTAGTTTTTGAATCCGACTTTGCTGGTGACTCATCATTTGTCGCAAAAACATGGAGGGGCGGAGCAAATA